CTACAATACATTGTTTTTATTTTTCTTTAAATGGTCCATTATCTTTTAAAGAGATTCAAATAGAGTATTTTATCATATTTATCATTTCCAGTGCTCACTGTTCTTTGAGATACAGATTTTTATTTGATATAATTTTCCTTCTGCCTAAATGACTATCTTTAACATTTTCTTTTTTGGTGGTTCAGTTCCGCTGGTGAGGAGTTCTTTTATTTTTAGTATACCTCAGAAAAAAATCTTTATTTCACCTTCCTTTTTTAAAAAAAAAATTGTATTTATTTGGCTTTGCCAGGTCTTATTTGCTGCCTGCGGGATCTTTAGTCGTGGCATGTTAACTCTTAGTTGCAGCACGTATGATCTAGTTCCCTGACTTGAGATTGAACCTGGGACCCCTGCATTGACAGCGCAGAGTCTTAGCCAATATACCACCAAAGAAGTCCCTCACCTTCCTTTTTACAATCATCTTTTTGCTGACCTAAGGGGAAGCAATCTGTGTTTTACCATCAGTACCCTAATAACTGGGCTTCCCAGGTGGCACTAATGGTACAGAACACGCCTGCCAATGCAGGAGACCTAAGAGATGTAGATTCAGTCCCTGGGTTGGGAGGGTCCCTTGGAGAAGGAAATGGCAATCCACTCCAGTATTTTTGCCTGGAAAATCTCAAGGACAGAGGAGCCTGGTAGGCTACAGTCCATGGGGTTGCAAAGAGTCAGATGCACCAGAAGCAACTTTAGCACTCTAATAATTATAGGATTTTTGTAGATGCTGTTAATGAAATTAATGAAGTTGCCCTGTTAAAAAATTTTTAATTAAAAAAAATCATCTTTTTGTTGTATAGAGTTCTATGCTGACAAGTTTGCTTTTTTCTTTTCATGCTTTAAAGTTATTAATCTTTTTCAGTCTTGTATTGTTCATCAAGAAAATTTGCTGTCATTTTTATTGTCGTTTCTCTGAATGTAGTGTAACTTTTCCTCTGTCTACTTTTAAGGTTTTTTTTTAATCATCACTGGCTTTGAGCAGTTTATGATGTACCTTAAAAATTGATGCTTTTGAACTGTGGTGTGGGAGAAGACTTGAGAGTCCCTTGGACTGCAAGGAGATCCAACCAGTCAATCCTAAAGGAGATCAGTCCTGGGTGTTCATTGGACGGACTGATGCTGAAGCTGAAACTCCAATAGTTTGGCTACCTCATGTGAAGAGTTGACTCATTGGGAAAGACCCTGATGCTGGAGGGATTGGGGGCAGGAGGAGAAGGGGACGACAGAGGATGAGATGGCTGGATGGCATCACCGACTTGATGGGCATGAGTTTGAGTAAACTCCTGGAGTTGGTGATGGACAGGGAGGCCTGGAGTGCTATGATTCATGGGGTCACAAAGAGTCGGACACAACTGAGCGACTGAACTGACTTAGTGTAGTTTTCTACATTTTTGGGGTTGTTGTTGTTGTTGCTTAGCATTCGTTGAGTTTCTTGGCTCTGTAGGTTTATAGTTTTCCTCAAATTTGGAAAATCTTCAGATTGTTAAGCTGGTAGAAATCGCTTCCCAAGCCTCTGTTGCTCTGTCGTCCTACCCGCTCTGCCCGCCCCTAGTCTTATTTCTTTGTGTTTTATTTGGAGTCTATTGCTGTGTCTTCAAGTTTACTTATCTATTCTTTTACAGTGTCTAGTCTGCTATTAATCCAAACCAATGTATTTTTCATCTTGGAGTTATAGATTTCTTCCCTAGGAGTTTGATTTGAGTCATACTTATCTTTCCTCTGGTTTGTTGAACATACAGAACACAATCAGGATGGTTTTGATGTCTCTTAATAATTCTATCAGCTGTATCATTTGTGTGTGTGTGTTTTTAACTTTCCCCTCAATATAATGGGTCTAATTTTCCTGCTTCTCTACATGCCTTGTCATTTTTTATTGGATGCTAAACATTGTGATTGTTACCTTGTTGGGTGTTGCATATTTTTGCGATCCTTTGAAGATTCTTGAGCTTTGTTCGGGAACACAGCTAAATTACACGATAACAGCTTAATCCTTTTGGTACTTGCTCTTCGCTTTTGTTGGAGAGAACTATAAGTATGTTTAGTCTGCGGCTAATTTTTTCCCCTCTACTGAGGCAAAATTCTTTTGTGTACTCTGCCTATTGCCATGTGCATTTTGAGGTTTTTCCCTTCTGGTTAGTGGAAATAGGCCCTGCTCCCGGCCCTGTGTGAGCCTGGAAGAGAGTATTCGGCTTTATATTTTCAGGGATTTCTTTCCCAAGCCTTGGGTAACTTCTTCACATGTATGTGTTGATGAGTTTTCATCTGAAAACTTAAGGGGAACTGTCTGCAGATCTCTAAAACTTTGTGCACCATTTTCTGCTCTCCATTTGCCCTGCAAATTTTAGCTGCCTTGGCCATTTTGCACTTCCAGGCTCTGTCTTCTCTCTCCAGGGAGAGTGGTCAGCCCTGTGCGGGCTCCCTTTTCTGTAACATGGCCTGGGAACTCTTGACCTGCAGTAATCTAGGGCAGTCATTGAACTCACATTTTTTCTTATCTCTCAGGGACCAATCCTTCATTACCTGATGCACAATGTGTTGATAACTGTTCTTTCATATATTCCACGTGTTCTTCCAGTTGTTTTTAGCAGGAGATTAAATTCAGTTACTAGTACTTCATCTTATCTTGAAGCTGCAGATGATACTGGAACACTTGGAATGGTTGTTAAAAGCACACATACCTTCAGCCGTGCTTTGTCCTTACTGATTTATAGGTTATAGCAGTGAGCCTAGGGTGTGATTATGCAATTGTGCACTGAAAATGTGCCAGGCGTTTACAGTTAAATTAGACCTAATACATGTTGTTTAGTCCCTGAGTTGTGTCTGACTCTTTTGTGACCCCATGGACTGTAGCCCTCCAGGCTCCTGTGTCCACGGGATTTCCCAGGCAAGAATACTGGAGTGGGTTGCCATTTCCTTCTTCAGAGGATCTTCCTGACCCAGGGATTGAACCCAGGTGTCTTGCATTGCAGTCAGATTCTTTACTACTGAACCACCAGGGAAACCCAGACATAATACTTGTTTACAAAATAATTTATATAATCCAGTGCAAAAGACTTATTTTTATGAGTATAAAATATATTAAGTATAATGTCTCTCCACAGGGTGTTATGGAACATCTTTATGAGGAAAGGCATCCAAATGGCCTTTCCAAATGGTGGCCCAGGGAAGGTTAGTAAATGCTTCCTGGAGAAATTGAAGACGTGAATTTGGAGAAATGGGCTGGAATGAGTTGCAACAGGGGAAATAGGGGAAAGAGGGCTGATCACCAACAACAGTCCAAGTGGAGAAAATGCTGTTATGAGGCTCAGAGGTACGAGGTTATGTCGTACATTTGGGGAACCGCAGACAGTTTGGAATAAAGAGGAAGTGATCTCTAGTGTCTTCCTCTGAAAAGGGAAACTCCTTTCTCCCTAAAATGTCTGAGTTTCAGTGTGGGGGAAGAAAATAAAAGAGAATAACTCACTTTTATCCAGAAGGATAGAGCAGTGAAAGCATGCCATAATAGATAGCTCAGGCTTTCCCTTGAAGCTGAAAATGTCTGATTAACTCATTCATTTGTTTGTTCATCAGAGGTCTGTTAAACTCTTGTTTTTACATCAGGCTACATGCTGGATGCTAGAGAGCCAGAAATTTGTTGTAAGTCTAATTTGATAACACTGACTCTTTGGGATCCCATGGATTAGTTAAATTAGACCTAATACTTGTTGTTTAGTCCCTGAGTTGTGCCCGACACTTTCGTGACCCCATGGACTGTAGCCCTCCAGGCTCCTCTGTCCATGGAATTCTCCAGGCAAGAATACTGGAGTGGGGTTGCCATTACCTTCTCCAGGGGATCTTCCCAACCCAGGGATGGAAGCTGCGTCTTCTGCATTGGCAGGTGGATTCTTTACCATTTGAGCCACCAGGGAAGACCATAATTTGATAGTATTTTTAAAAATTGTTTTGTGCCTTAAACACATACCATGGAACATACTTCACATGCTAAAAAACCTCATTTGGAAAAGTATCAATTTCAGAAAAACAATTAGTGACGGCTTTGAGAGGAGAAGAAATTTTCAGCTTAGCAGAGGGCATTACACAATAGTGGACATAAGTGAACACAGCATTAAATAACAAGCACTGTTCTAAGCACTTGGTATAAATTAACTTCTATAATCCTCACAAAAATTGCATGCTTTTACTTACAGTTTATTTTAACCATAAACATACTCTTTTGACAGTTGTCTTTCTGCACATTTATTTTACCAAGCATTACTCATTACACTAGCCCCCAAAATAACAAAGTTCTAGAAACCGCTAGAAGTAGAGATGAGGTCACTGAGATAGTTGAGGGTGACAGGAATAATTGTTTTCTGCCAAATAGAAGTTTTTCAAACTGCCAAAGAATTGTCCAGAGAAGGGAGCCAAAAAAGGCAGATCAGGCAGTCTCTCCCCAGGCTGGCCATAAACTCGAGAGTCTCTTTGACCTCTGTCTACCAACATGAACAGCTACATCAGCCTAAAGGCAGGCTTGAAATAAGGTCAGACCATCTCAAGTGAATTTTGAAAAATAAACAGTACTAGAAGCCAAAGAGTAAGCACATGCACCATTTATCATTTCACCTTCATGAGGTCAACAAGTATGTGTCACGCACTGTCCCTAAAGTGGCCAGCAGAGTTTGGGTGATGGTTTCCGTTGTAAGCATTTAAACAGAAGGTTACCACTTGTCTTCCTAGACTTTCTTGCATACTCAGTAGACAACCTGAAGACATGGATGCCGGAGGCCATGCTCTACATCGTAGGAGCAGGAAACAGTCAAGGTCTCTCCTGATGCCTCTTGACTTGCAGGAGTAATGGTTATTCAGCCTTTGGTGCTCCATCCACCTTGTCCATTTGTGTTTTCTCCTGTAGTCTGTGCTAAGACCGATGTACACAAGACCAGAACCAGAACATAAGTATTCCAAGTTACAAATCCTCTGATGTTTCAGTCTACTTCTTCGTGTGGTATCCTAAGTATTTTCTCCTAGAAGGGGAAAAAGAGAAATAGATTTTTAGAATTCCAAGTTTGATTCCGTGTTGAAGTGAAAACATGTGCCTGTTAACTCTGCTTTCTTATCCCAAGCCTGACCCGAGGCTTGCAGACGTGTTAGAGTTGGGGGAGGGTTTGGAAAGGTGACTAGCATCCTTGGTATGCCTGAAAGGAAAACACCAGTTAAGGACTTATGTTACACACTCAGGGTTAAGTATAGGAAGAGTCTAGATGGGAAGAGTCTGATGCTGTATTTAAATTCAAAAAGGTTGATGACTATGGAGGTTGTTAACCTCTTCTTTCAAGATGCGGTAGAAGGGGTGAGGTTGCAGGACCACAGGATAGCTATGTGAATAGTGCTTCAAGTGAGGCAAAAAGGGCCAGGGAATAAATGAAAATCAAATGATGGCTTGTTTGGTATGCTTTGTCACTATTCATTGATTTGACTAATTAATTATTGCTCTCCAGGGCTTCCCTGGTGGCTCAAAGGGTAAAGAATCTGCCTCCAATGTGAGAGACCCATGTTTATCCCTGGGTCAGGAAGATCCCCTGGAGAAGAGAATGGCAACCCACTCCAGTATTCTTGCCTGGAGAATCCCATGGACAGAGGAGCCTGGCAGGCTCCAAAGAGTCAGACATGACTGAGAAACTAACACACACATTGCTCTCCAAGTATTGGCCGAGCATCTATGATGTATGTAAAGGTAATGGAAACCATGAGAGAGAAAGAAGGGGATGAAATATATAACCCGGCCTTCATAGGCTTGTGGTTCCATTGTTAAGATTTGGTGCACTCCTGTGAGACATGGAATGCTGAGATATAATACTTAGGAACCCCGAGCTCCTGAAAATTGTATGCCTAGGAATAGTTTTTCTCCTTCTACCCAACTAGGGACACTCCAGAGAGCCACTGAAATCCCTGGGGCAATGGAAGGCTGGCCACCAGTGTCCCCTCATTCCTGTTCAGGGAAACTGAGCTCACATGTCAATCCACATCTTCTCCACATTCTCATAGTCATATCGACTCATAAATATTCTTTGAGCAGCATCCTTTATTTTTTTGCAACTCTGTTTCTGACTTTGGAAAAAATTAGTCCTTTTTTTTTCCTTCCCTCTCCTAATTTCTAGCTTCTTGCTCCAAATTAAACCTAACTGTGGCCAAGACTTAAGATTAGGATTTATGATGACCTGGAAAAGTAAACTAATAAATTTTGAATTGAAAATACATGTGATAAAGAACTAGTGCCACAAAATTCTAAAGCTTTTGAAAATTTACTTTATTATTTCTACCCCAAAATCCATCTGTTTTCTCTGATTGGAATTGTTTTTTTCTCTAGCACTAGCAGCCAAATTAAAAAATAATAGAACTGTATTCTTTCTTCTTTTTATTTGCTTATTAGAATTAGGACCACTATTTTTAATGACAGATTTCTTGAAATATAGTGTAAAAGTCACCCTTTTAAGAATATATAATTCAGTGGCTCTTAGTGTGTTCAGAGTTGTGCAACCATCAGTTCTATCTGATTTTAGAACATTTTCATCATTACAGAAAGAAACTGTGTCCATCAGCAGTCACATGCCATTCTTTCTCCCCACAGCCCTAGGAAATCACTGCCTCTATGAATTTGTCTATTCTAGACATTTCATATAAATGGAATCATACAATATATGGCCTTTTTGTCTGACTTCTTTCACTGTGCATAATGTTTTCAAGGTTTATCCACCTGTCCATACTTAATTCCTTTTTATGGCTGAATGTTACTCCAGTGTATGGATATTTCACATTTGGTTTTTCCATTCATTATTCATCATGGAAAATCTGTGTTGTTTCTACTTTGGGGCCTTTATGAATAATGAATACTGCTCTGAACATTCATGTACAAGCTTTTTTTTTTTTTTTCATGTACAGGCTTTTATGTGAACACTTGTTTTCTGTTTTCTTGGATATAGACAGAGGAGTAGAATTGGTAACCCTACATTTAACATTTTGAGGAACTGCCAAATTGTCTCCCAAAGAGATCGGACCATTTTAGAATCCAGCCAGCAATGTACGAGTGTTCAAATTCTCCACATCCTCACCAACACTTGTCTTTTTTGTTTTAGCCATGCTAGTGGGTGTGAAATGGTATCTCATTGTGGTTTTGATTTGCATTTTCCTAATGTTGAAATGAAGATGTCAAGCAAACATCTTTTCATGTGCTCATTGGCCATTTGTATATCTTCTTTGGAGAAATGTCTGTTTTTAAAAAGTACTGATTCATTTGGCTGTGTCAGTTCTTACTTGTGACACGTGGGATCTTATTGCGTCATGCACAATCTTTTGTTGTGGTGCACTGACCCTCTAGTTGTGGCTCACGCGCTCCAGAGCATACAGGCGCAGTAGTTGTGGCGCATGGGCTTAGTTGCTCCACAGCATGTGGAGTCTTAGCTCCTTGACCAGGGATTGAACCCACATCCTCTGCATTGCAAGGTGGATTCTTAACCACTGGACCACCAGGGAAGTCCCAGAAATGTCTGTTCAAATTGATTGCCCATTTTAAAAATTGGTGGGGGGTGTTGTCCTTTTATTGTTGACTTGTAAGAATTTATTACATATTCTGAATACAAGTCCCTTATCAGATATATAATTTGCAACTACTTTTTCCCATTCTGTGGGTTGTCTCTTTACCTTCTTGAGGGTATCCTTTGAAGCAGAAATGTTTTTAATCTTAATGTAGTCCCTTTTATTTTTTGTTTTGTTGTTTGTACTTATGGTATAGAAACACTATTTTTCATAGAACATTTTTGGCATTTCAGTTACATTAGTTAACTAGATTTTGAGAACTGGCTTGTAAATCCAGTTGATACTTACAGTCCCTCTGGAAGATTATATTAAGAAGACCAACAATGATGGTAATTTCCTGTATATAATTGTAGTGCAAATATGAAGTATTGTAAAGACTCAGAGGCTGGTAAGGGTCTTGAGCTGGAGTAGACAGGAGGGGCTTTGAGGCGGAGGAGGGACTTGAGGGGGCCCTGGTCTTGAAGGGCCTTAGAGCTGTTAAATCTGAAGTGATGTTCAGGAATCTATCCTCCTCCATGAGTTAAGGCAGCTTGAATTTGGAGTACTTAAGAGCCTTGTTCAGATTAGCCACTTCCTGCTGCTGCAGTTGCATCAGTGATGTCTGACTCTTTGCAACCCAGTGGACTATAGCCCACCTGGCTCTTCTGTCCTTGGAATTTTCCAGGCAAGAATACTGGAGTAAGTTGCCATTTCCTTCCCCAGGGGACCTTCCTGACCCAGGGATAGAACCCGCGTCTCCTGCATTGGCAGGCGGGTTCTTTTACCACTAGCGCCACCTGGGAAGCTCAGATTAGCCTCTTAAGGGCTATCATATCTGGTGCGACAGTGGAAAATAGGAAAGAACAGAAGTCTGGGTAGTTTAATGGGCAGCAACTGGTGATTGTGGTGGGCACATCAGGCCCATAGGCATGATCAGCTATACTTCCCATCTGGTAGCCAAGAGACTAAGCCTGTTTGGAGGCCCTGGGGTCACGCTGGCCATGCCCAGAGCAGACTCATGTCTTTTTCTGGCCTCTGTAGAGGCCCTAGTAGAAATAGGACTAATGATAGCAGCGCATGTCCTCCTAGGAAGGGCTGGAACAGACAAAAACGTCCTATGCCTACTGAGGTTTAGAGCTCTGGGGTAAAGCAGTTTGAAAAGGTTCCCCTTATGAGGCCATTTGAACAGGACAGTTTTAAAGACATCTCAAAGGAAAAGGGTAGGGGAAGGGCTGAGGCTGAGGAATCAGGGTAAAGATGTCTGTTTTGCCTGATAGCAGATACTTTAAAAATAGATGAAAATTAAACTGCTCTTCAGTTTGTATCAAAATGTCCCTGTCGGAATGTCTAGGTCCCAGCAGCAATGACAAAATGTCATAAGCCCTGAACCTCTGTGTAAAGATTATTCTCACACCCCTGAGAGAATAAGAAACTTCTCCTAGTCTCACTGCCAGACTTCCGTTGCCTGCAAAATTTGTGAAAACAGAAATTGTATCTATCCAAACATTTTATATCTCAGCATCTCTTCATTTCCTGTTCTGTCTGACCAGTCCCTCTCCTTTCACTCACATACCCCACATACCCTTTGGGAGCTCAGTAAATATTTATTGATAATGAAGATAATAACTAAAAATATGTTCCCATCAATGGGGTAAATCTCTTGCCACTCAAGTGTCCTAAACCCATGAGAACTGCTTCAAAGATGTGTTCCCTTCACTTAAAAAAAACAAGCCCCAGAAAAAACCCCTTTCCATACCGTGCCCCCTGAGTTCTGGGAAGATTTCATTTTTAGATAGAATGCACTTACCCATCCACCGTGCTGCTGGATCCAGGGCGAGAAATTCTCTTTCAGGTACTTGGTTCCAAAACCCAGCACCCTGTTCATGGGGTGGTTGTCGACAGTCGTGAGCTTGGCTATGACATCTATTGCAAGAGCAGCTTTAAAGCCCTGAGCTTTGACCTCTGATTCTCCCCTCGTGTCCACGCCCCTTAGGAACTGGTCTGTGATGGTCTTGAAAACAGGATAGGATAACCCATCCTGGAAGCAGGTCATCAAAACCTTGTCTTTCTTCAACTGTGTACGAGAGGAGAAACAGTATGTATCAGCCTTGGCTGGGGAAGCAGACTCTCCCGCTGAACACTGGGTAACTAAAACACCCAGTGGAAAACCCTGGATTCTAATCTCAAATGTGGAACCATATCCCACAGGACCAGACAGGGCATGGACTTTCTCTGTTAATTCCTTCCATGGGAACCAATACAGACTGAACAGCCTGTTCACAGGACATTCAACAAATGTTTCCTAGCACTTATGACAGGTGGTACCGTGGATGATTAAGATGCGTCCTCACTCAAGGGGCTCAGAGTCCACTGACACTTGTAACCCAGTGAAAGGTGCTTTGTTAGAGGTTGTGTGATGGGCAGAATGCAAAACCTGGAAATCGCTGTTTTGGCTCAAACCCCTGTTCCACTTATTATTAGCTGTGCAATCTTGGAGAAATTACTTAACTTCTCAGTTTCAGTTATGTCGCCTCTAAACTGGGGCGACAGTCCATACGAAGAAAGTGAAAGTGAAGTCACTGTGTCGTGGCCGACTTTTTGTAACCCAATAGACTGTGACCTGCCAGATTCCTCCATCCATGGGATTTTCCAGGCAAGAATACTAGAATGGGTTGCCATTTCCTTCTCCAAGGGATCTTCCCAACCCAGGGATTGAACCTAGGTCTCCGACACTGCAGGCAGATTCTTTACCATCTGAGCCACCAGGGAAACCCAGAGTAATTTTGAAACACTTGGCCTTGTACCCAACATGGAAAAATGCTCTTGAAATGTTAGCATGTGTCCAGGGTGCTTCAGGAGCTCAGAGTTATTAGGGAAACGTTCATGAGTTACCTGAGTTCATGTGAAAAGAAAAACAAAACCTAATCGATTGATTCCCTTCCATTGTTCTACTCAATTGATTTTACCTTATACTCCTCTCTTGAATGTTGTATTTCTTAAATGGTCTTAGAAAAAGAACAATACTGCCTTGGCCTTTTTTTTTTTGGCCATGCTGCACGGCATATGGGGTCTTAGTTCCCTGACCAGGGATTGAACCCATGTTCCCTGCATTGGGAGCATGAAGTCTTAACTGCTAGACCACCAGAGAATCCCCAGTGGACAGCTTTGAGAGCTACAAGGTTCATCCTTCAAATGGGGAGAAATGACTTGCCCCGTAACTCCTGTCCATTGATGCTAGTTCTGGAGAAACACAGGGTCATCATATGCCCTCTTCTGTTTTCTGCTTCCTCTGCACCCCTGTCCACCCTCTACTAAGGCCCCAAAGCTCTCCTATTTCCTCCTCTTTTCTTTGGTCTGGGCTTGGTTCCCTCAGTGTTCCTCATTCTGTACCATCGCATATTCCTCCCCCATCCTGGTCACCATCCTCTGGGACACCTCTGACAAGGGCATCGAGGAGCCACCGAGCACGCTGGGGTGGACTGGGGTGGGTGGCTGGCCAGTTAGCGCTGTTAACCCCTCCTGCAGAGCTCCACAGATCTGACTTCCTGCCCATGGATCCTTGCAAAACAAGAGAGTGTGTCCCCCGGCCAGCTCCTGATGGCCAGATGCAGGAGACCACACAGCCATCCATGGGTAACACAGAGACGGGCTGCGTTCAGAAGCCGTGACCACAGAGGGGCCTGCCCACCACCTCCTTACCTGAAGGCAACCCTTGCACGTTCCTGATGGGAATAACCAGTCTCAACTTCTAACTGGCACAAAACCCAGCATTCTCCAAGTAACGCTAACCCGTCCCCTGGCCGAACTGCTGAGAGAGAACAGTCCGGCCGTTCTAGGGGGAGATTTCAGACAACACTCCAGACTTGGAGCATCTGTGGGACACAGATATTCAGGCTGCAGGGCAAACACAAGAGTCTAAACTTCCCTGAGGATCAGTTACATGGGGAACTAGATTCATAATTCTATTCAGCGAATTTTTATTTATTGGTGACTTTTTTCCTTTCCAAAAATTCCGAGGAGGCTCCAGAAGGTTTACTTATGTTTTCCAAAGTGATTCATTTTTGAGACCCTGCCAGCATGAAGAGTTTTGACTCCAAGGGAAATAAAATTTAGGACTTAAGTGGAAACCAGAACTTTGAAAAAGGAGTACAACCATCAGTCCAGTTCCATTCCCCAGTACAGGGCGGGGACACAGAAAGAAAACCCATTAGTTCAAGACGCTCCCTACCTCTCTTTCCAACTGCTCCCCTGAATATTTCAGCAGCTCAACAATTCTGGCTATTATTTGGTCTTCTCCTTCTGTCAGGGGAAAATTACAATTATTTCTTGCAAGAGAAAAAAAAAAAATCTTGTATGTTTCCAGGGACAAGCTTGTAGCCTAGTTAGGGTGTGAGGAAGACCATGCACTTTGTAACTTCCAGCAAAGTAAATCTACTTCACCTCTTCTGATGACGCACAAAGCATTCTGAACAGCCTCTCCTCCATCTCCTTCTTTTCTCCCTTCTTTCCTCCCCTAGCCCCCTTATTCTCACCGTGAAACTAATCACTTTATTTGCTCTAAGAATGCTGTTGAAGATGCATGAATTTATCTCTAATGATACTTAGAAGAAAATTTTTTAACTTTTTATTTTGTATTGGGGTGTAGCCAATTAACAACGTTGTAATAGTTTCAGGTTGAGAGTGAAGGAACTCAGTTAAATGTATACACGTATCCACTCTCCGCTAAACTCCCCTGTGTTCCAGGCTGCCATGTAACATTGAGCAGAGTTCCCTGTGCTATACAGTAGGTCCTTGTTGGTTATCCATTTTAAATATAGCAGTGTGCACATGTCCCTCCTAAAGTCCCTAACAATCCCTTCCCCCCTGATACTTAGAAGAAATGTCTGTCAGGTCTTTGGGTTTTTCCTGAGCAGGTGGTCTTTTCCCATGTAGACACCATAAACCCCTGTTTGATCATATTCATCCTTTGTGTTAACTGCTAGAAAACTCGGAGCCAAACTGTGGCCTCCTGAGAGGAAGGTACAGTCTTCCTGAATTTGGGGAATTAAAGTCATTCCCAAACCCACCTATTTTCCTACTTTTTTTTTTTAAACATTATCTTTCAAATTGGATTTATCTAACTTTGCACTTGTACAAAGTACATGTACCAAAACATGTACTTTGTATGCTGTGTCTTTACAACAGGGTAGAGTTTAAGTAAATACAATGAATAAGTTCTCCCACCCCAAAGGCTAACATGGCAGATGGCGATGGAGATGGCTCCAGTTGGTGTGTGCTCTGTGTGTTGGAAACAGGGAAGGTGGAGTCTGCTTTCCCTTGTCTCCAAATGGCTAACAGTGAAATAATATTAGGAAAACAGTCATTGCTATAGTGTGGAATCCAAACAGAGACAAGCCTGTTACTGAGGGAACAGCATGTTTTCTTTGTGGCATAGTCTCTGAAGTCACAAAGTCCTCATGTGGGTCCCAGAGGAGAAGGGGAGGAGAGGCCAGGAAATTCATGCCACGAGGTCGAGTGAAGGGCAAGGAGGTAGGAAGCCTGAGACCCAAGTCACCTGGGAGAAGGACTGGATGCTTCTGCCACCCATGTGTAGTTTTTATCGGATTCTGTTGCCTCTTTCTGGGAAAGTTGCTGCAGCAGCAGTCCCAGTTGCTCATGTGCCTGGAGGATGAGGGTCTGAGCTTTGGCTTGGTTTGGCGTCATCACTTTATGTGGCCCAGACACACATGAGATCGCAGTAAAGTAGGAACACTTTGGGTTTTTTTACTCTCTGAGGGGTCCTGCTCTCCCAGCTCCTCACTCTGAGCCCCTTTGGTAGCTTGTGGTCTTGGCAGCACAGCCAGGGTGGACACACTCACCAGTTTGGTTCTGGGGTTGGGGGGCACCGCCACGATTGAAGACTCTGCCTTGTCGCTTGATGTGCTGCCAACTCAAGAGCCAGCTGGGCCCCTCGTCGCCCACTGGAGTTTGAGAAAGAGAACCACAGGTTAGACAGTCATTAGTGAGGGAATGTCAGACTGAACTCCTCTTCCCGGGCACTTGGTCCTCTTTCTCTCAACTCTGGGCTTCCCTGGTAGCTCAGACCGTAAAGAATCTGCCTGCCAATGCAGGAGACGCAGGTTCCATCCCTGGGCCAGGATGATCCCCTGGAGGAGGGCATGGCAACCCACTCCAGTATTCTTGCCTGGGAAACCCAATGGAGAGGGGAGCCTGGCAGGGAACAGTCCATGGAGTCACAAAGAGTTGGACACAGCTGACACCTTCCCTTTCCCTCACGTCTAGAATTTCTCCAGGTCGGTTGGGGTCCACAGTCCTGGCTGTTGCTCCAGTTTGGGTGACAACCAACCCAGCCTCATCATGACTTCTCAGGTCTGCTTCATGTTTGGCTCTAGGCTTGGTGCCTGACAAGCCCCCTGCTTCTTCACGGGAGCCCAAGGCAATAGTGTAAACTCCTGGGGGGACGCTCCACCTACAGCCTGTGCACTCGCTTGAGCACACGGGGTCTTGGCTGTGGCTAACATGGTGAAATCTAATGCTTCATTCCCCCTGCCTGCCCCCCAGCTGTGGACAAGATTGAGTGCTTTCTTTGCACCTCCTCCTGCCCCTCAATAGGAGACTTTTCTTTGGACTTAGCAGTGAGCTTGGCATGCAGCTTCCCTCTGCTGGAGCACTCCCCTTGACTTGGGCTGGGTTCTCCAGCTAAAGGCCAGTGCCTCCAGCATGTGATGGTGGTGCCCTGAGTCCAGGTCAGCAGAGATTCCTAAGTGGCAGGGCCCTGAGCTGAATAAATACATACGTGCTCATGGACCTCTGCTTGGCCAACACTCACCCTGGGCCAAAGGCTCAGAAGGGAAGTTTACCTTTCTTGGTACTTTCAGCTCCAGACTGCTGTTTGAAACTCTGGGGTACCAGAAGCTCTTGGGAGTTGAAGCCTCCTCCCTGGCTATGGAACTCTTCTGGCGGCGGCCAGGAATAAACAATTTCAGCGACTCGGTTGGCAATGGAAACGACTCTGGGGTCCGCAGCTGAAAGAAGACAAAACGGTGCTGACAGGCCCTGCCCAGAACTTTGTCTGGCTCATTGGTATGCACGGTTGCCCGAAATGAAAACACCGGGCCTAGAGGGAAAGGAAATGGCCCGGGGCCGGGCAGGAGTGTGCGTTTGGTGGGGTGGTGGCATTCTTCAGAAAGCCTGGGCAGTTGCCTGGCAGAGGCTGGGATGGGGGAGGGGCATGCAGGAATGATTGCCACCTTGAAACAATTACCCCTCTGCACCCTCTTTTGGAAGTCTTGCAAAATTAGGGTCCCCTTGCCCGTTTGCAACACAAAAGGCAGTGCTCAGTTCTTTGCTTGAGGGAACGCTCATTACGCTTTTATTTTTATTCTTTTTTGGGGCATCCTTTATATCTTGGAGAGCTGGCCCCTATGCACTTTGGAAGGCATTCGGCAGTGTGACAAGCCTTTGGGGGCTGGTCACTGAGGAGAGAGAAATATCCCTTCTCTCCAGCCGTATTCCTGACTCAAGCCCATTATCAAGGAACTTCCCTTGCTGGTATGGTCACGTGTCGGCCTCCCCGCCTCCACGCCTGCTGGGAAACATGCAAAAAATGTGGATAGGTAAACAAGGACGCATAAAATCTAACCCATGACCCTCAAGAATTTACAAATCCGAAAAAAGACTTATGTCAAATGTTTGCACATGTAACTGGAGAATAAAGCATCTGGGGACATGAAGTTTTAAATGGCTCTGGCCCCCGAATGTCATGCCCTGTAAGGGACAAGTCGACTTGGCCCCTGGTGGAGGATGGGGTTGGGGTAGGAGGGCAGGCAGTATTGCCGAGTTATTTGGGAGTAAAATTTCATTGTTAATCTGTCACTATGTTCTTAACACGTAGAAGCTTGTACAAGCTCTGCCTTTGATATGGAGCAGTTGTATCATGTAATGTTTAAGAACAACAGTATTTAATTCATAAGACTTGTTGACAGTAACGGGTTTGGGCCAGAAGGTCAGTGTGCCCAGAGGAACTCCCAGACTTTGTCAGTCAGGATAGATGAGCAAGGCAAGGCGTGGGTGTCATGTGAAGAGCTGGGTGTGACCTCCTGAGGAGCTGCCAGGTGATGTCTGATTCTCTTTCCCCAGATTCTCCCATCACCCTTCCTGGGTGTTCACTGACAGGCCACTGATGCTCTGTCCACAATGCCTTCCTTTTAAAAAGAAGGCATAATGCCTTCCTTAAAAAGCCACTTTTTTCATGGTGCTCCATCCATTGGGTTCAAAAACAGATCAGCAGTGGATTAGAGAGAGAAGAACTGGAGAGGTTAAGGAGTGGAGGATCAATGCTTTTCCTTTCCATTTGACAACAATCCAACCAAAAATACTTTCACACTTTTAAATCACCTTACTGCAGTCCAACCAGCCTCCTCGTGAACGCCAGCTGCCCACGCAAGGAGGTGGCAAGAGGCTGGATGCCCAAACCAGTGGGAGCCTTCCCTTGTGTCCATGGAAGGTAGGAGAGGAAAGTGTGCACGCCTTGCCTCTCTAACCTCGTGCAGTTGGTGGGGTGATCAACACGCTCTTTTCCATGGAAGAGTCATGCTCTGCCCACCTTGCCCTCAGAGGAGGCAGATGAAGACCCTCATGGCTGCCCCTCCCCATCTCCCAGCCTCCACCACGTGGTCACGAGACCACTAGAGGACACAGAGGTGGTCCCCAAGCTGACTAACCTGTGTGTCTGTTTCTATGGATTGGAGGAATGCAGACAAAATATGTGCAGGAAAATCTATAAGTAAACACATTTTGAAACTCAGGTGAATTAACCTGGTTAAGATTCCCACTCTAGGGACTTCCCTGGCAGTCCAGTGGTTAAGATTCTGTGCTTCCACTACAGGAGGTACTGGTTCAATCCCTGGTCAGGGGACTATAAGATCCCACATGCCTTGCAGTATGGAAAAAAAAAAAAAAAGAAAATTTCCATTCTAATATATATATATATATATTTTAAAGATTTCCTTCTGGTCAGAGTTGGTCTGATCTGATAGGCAAGGAAACACTGGATGGGGGTGGAGAGAAAATGGAACGGCTGCCCTTCTTTGGAGTTTATTCTGGGGGCTCATTGTGCAGTTAAGGAGAGCAGGAGAGTAGGGAAGGCATTTGGCTTGAGGTTTTTCTTTTAAAGAGAAAGGACAGGGCATTTGGGAGAGAATTCCATATAGGGGAGTCTGCTATTTCCTACCTAGTATCCCTTTTCTTTATCTTTCTTAGTAACAGACCCCTGAAATGTCAGGGGCAGCTGACAGAACTACATTTCTCAGCCTCTTTTGCAATAAGGTGTAGGCACTGAGATGTAAGAAGTTGGCTACAGTTTTACGAAAGCTCTCTAAAAGGGAGCGGAATTATCTTGAAAGATAAACTTTGTCCTTCTCCTTGCTTCCTCTTGCTCCCTGCTGAGAATGTAGACACGATGGCTGGAATCTGAGCAGCCGTCTTGGGGTTTAAGGTGACTTTGAGGTTGGAAGCCATTAGCTGAGGGGCAACAGAATGGAATCCTTAAAGACTGGGGAACTGGCAGATCAAGACTGAACTACAAAACGGTGGTTTTCTTTTATAGGAGAGAAAAATAATCTCTATGTCAGTGAAGTTACAGCAGATCACAGCTGTGGAGGAAAAAAGAGACTCACAGAAAAACTGGGTTGGTGTTTCTCAAATTGGTATTGCCATTCGTTTTTCTATATCCGAAAGCCTGTCACTACTAGACTTTGGTCTTGGGACATAATCTCATAGTTCTTAGTCCAGCCTGGTGTCTGAAATGGCAGCACAGGCTAAACTGTGACCTTTAGTTAAAAGAACCCAGGGGACACCAACTACTGAGTTCTGATTTACATGTGGCAGAAGAGAAATAGAAGGCAAGTCCCTCTTGGGTCACACTCAGCATAGAACCAGCTAACCACCCTCATAATTACCTAAACAAGAAAGCAGAGAGAGAGAAAGGGGAGAGGGAGGACCAACTTAAGTGAATCATTAAAGCTAAGCCTCCTTAGGAGATAACCATTTCTACTTTCGTAGGAATATCTATAGGTCTACACAGAGATCTGGAAATTTCAGAAAATAGGCAAAGGTCCAATGACCCTTCAGTAATCTTGAAATACAGAACACTGTTTTCCTCAGGAAAACCAGAAAGTTAAAGTCTGTAAAATCTTCTGTTTCCTGGCAAACTTCAAAGAACAGGACAAGCAGAAAAACCTATTTATGTGCCTCTAAACTTCCCTGGTGGCTCAGATGGTAAAGCATCTGCCTACAATGCGGGAGACCCAGGTTCGATCCCTGGGTCGGGAAGATCCTCTGGAGAAGGAAATGGCAGCCCACTCCAGTACTCTTGCCTGGAAAATCCCATGGACAGAGGAGCATAGTAGGCTACAGTCCATGGGGTCGCAAAGAGTCAGATACGACTGAGCGACTTCACATCACTTCAAACTGTTCGATGGGGCTTCCCAGGTGGCTCAGTGGTAAAGAATATGCCTGCCAATGCAAGAGACACAAGAGACCCGGGTACTATCCCTGGGTGGGGAAGATCCCCTGGAGTGTAGGAAATGGCAACCCACTCCAGTATTCCTGCCGGGGAAAATGCCATGGACAGAGGAGCCTGGCAGGCTACCGTCCGTGGAGTCACAAAGTGTCGGACACAACTGAACATACACACAGGCAAGCAAGCCAAACTGTTCTGTTTGCTCTGGACCTCAGATCCCACCCCCAGCAGAAGACCTGGAGGGAGGAGGATTTCCTCAGATAATCCCAACCTTAACTTCTCCTCCCTAAAGTTTACAAGTCTAATGGGAAATGGACGTTTCCTTGAGCAGCCAGTGCTCTAAAGCTGTCATTGTGTGCGCTGATTCTCCAATAAGCCTGACAGTCACAGCATTTAAAACTTGAGACATTACTGCCACCTGTTGACTAATTATTGACACAGGCCAATCAGCCCAGCAGGAGAGCAGGTTTCTTTTAAAATCTGGGCATCAGGCAGAAGATATGGTTAGAGGGGAAGATGTTTATGCCTAGGTCTGTGGATGAAGGGCAACACTGTTAAAGCCTTTCATGAAAATGTTCTGTTCAATACAATGTGTTTTGCCCCACTGAAAGAAGATTTAGTCAAAATGCTTCTTGGTTGTGTTTTGAGTGGCTTGAACTTTGAAATCCCTTTTCTATATAGCTATCTGATCTTTCCATCCACCTTCAAGAAGCCAAGGTGCAGATGGAAAGGCAGAGGCCTAGAGATGGGAGTTGACTTCCCTCATGAAGAACAGCAGCCTGAGCACATCTAGGGATCTTCCCTTTGTATTGGTCTCTGGCACCGAGAATTAGGAATTTGGGCAGCAAGTTTAATTATAGATGGTGGAGCCAGAAAACCAGTCCCATCACCCTTCACCATCAAACTTTTCCTTTCTGCTCAGTCTTAAGGAAAGTAGGACAATTAGGATTGAGTATTGGGCTTCCCTGGTGCCTCAGTGGAATTGGAGAAGACTCTTGAGAGTCCCTTGGAGATCAAATCAGTCAATCCTAAAGGAAATCAACCCTGAATATTCATTGGAAACAATAATTTGAAGCTGAAACTTAATTTGGCCACCTGATGCAAAGAGCTAGCTCATTGGAAAAGACCTTGATGCTGGGAAAGATTGAAGGCAAAAGCAAAAGAGAGCAGCAGAGATTGAGATGGTTAGATAGCACCACTGACTCAGTTCACTTCAGTCACTCATCATGTCTGACTCTTTGTCATCCCATGGACTAGCACACCAGGCTTCCCTGTTCATAACCAACTCCCAGAGCATGCTCAAACTCATGTCCATCCTGATGGACATTGAGTCACTGACTTGATGGACATGAATTTGAGCAAACTCTAGGAGACAGTGAAGGACAGGGAAGCCTTGTGTGCTGTAGTCTAAGGGGTTGCAAAGAGTCAGACATGACTTAGCGACTGAACAACCAGAGTGGCAAAGAATATGCCTGCTAATGCAGAAGACACAGATTGGATCCCTGATCTGGGAAGACCCCACGTGCTGTGAAGCAGCTGAACCCGTGCACCACAAGTATTGAGCCTCTGCTCTAGAGCCCATGTGCTACAATTACTGGAGCCTGTGAACCCCAGAGCTTGTGCTCTGCAACAGGAGAAGCCACGGCAATGAGAAGCCTACAGACCCCAACTAGGGAGTAGCCCCCAGTCTCCAAAACTAGAGAAAAGCCTGCATAGAAATGAAGACCCAGCACAGCCAAAAATAAAAAGTAAAACAAACAAACAAACAAACAAAACCAACAAAAGAATTGAGTATTAATAGGTTGGGAAGCTGAGGTTCAAAGAGTTCCCTACCTAAGGGTGGGAGGAGGCAAACCCTCAGGCACACAAAGGGAAAGAAGTGGCTGTGGGAGAGAAAGCGCAGTTGGTTCCCCAAAGCTTACCTTTGTGCTCTAAGCGCTGGTCCATGCTGGAGCGGGACCTTGGCCATTTCGGACTCCGAGGACAGGCCTGAGGTCCCCCCACCCTCGGTCCTTGGGCACGGATTTCCGGAGGCGAACTCTGTGAGTCCTCCTCCTTCTCTGCTACCCCGAAGAGGGTCCTCCAAGACGACTTTTTCTTGGCGAGGTTTATGGCCTTCTCACTGGATTGGGAATTTCTGCAGGGCCACGGCCCCTGCGTCCATGCCTCTTTCACTGGCCAGCTCTCCGGCCCTTTCTGGGACAGACTCCTTGTTCTTAGGAGCTTCGGTGAGAGGACGACAGAGGTGTTCTGGAAGACATGGTGTTTGACATAGAACTCCAGGATTTTGTACTCCAAGCTGTCTGGGTCCTCATCATCCAGAGGGATCTCTTCCAGGTCACAGGGGCTGGCAGTGCACATGGTGGGGCTGCAATGACAAAATCCACATGTGTCCTTCCACCTGGGAGCTACCTACTCTTGGTAGGAAAGGGGAGACAGGGTGGAAGTAAGTAGTTACTGAGCACCTATTCTCTTTGTGGTGTTGGAGAAGACTCTTGAGAGTCCTTTGGACTGCAAGGAGATGAAACCAGTCAATCCTAAAGGAAATCAACCTTGAATATTCACTGGAAGGACTGATGCTGAAACTGAAGCTCCAATGCTTTGGCCACCTGATTCGAAGAGCTTAACTCATTGGAAAACACCCTGATGCTGGGAAAGTTTGAGGGCAGGAGGAGAATGGGGGTGGCAGACAATGAGATGGTTGGATGGCATCACTGACTTGATGGACATGAGTTTGAGCAAGCTCAGGCAGATGGTGAAGGACGGGGAGGGCTGGTTTGCTGCAGTCCATGGAGTCACAAAGAGTTGGACACGACTGAGCAACTGAACAAATTCTCTTTGTGCTTGGAGGCAGTGGGTAGCCAGAGATGGAAAAGCCAGGATTCTTTCTGCAAGTTCAGATTTGCGGAGATGAGATGTGTACATAGATAACTCCAGACGGAGAGAGTGAGCTAGGAGCTTGAACAAAGATACAGGAGCAAACACAGGAGGTGGGGGAGGAACAGAGAGCTGCAAATAGAGGCAAGTGCAGGCTCCTTGTGGCTGGATCCTGGGGCTTAGAACAATCTGGGCACAGAGCAGACCACAGGTGAATTTAGGTTGTGTCCCTGGGCCCTGCAACCAGACCCTTGGACCGGGCTCTACCCACCAGTAAGCGGGCACTAGCTCCAGGATGTGGTTTCACCCACCAATGGGACGGCAACAGTCCCAGGGACTCCTGAACCCTACCTCGATCCTCTAGTTAACTCAGCAATAACCTGGGTCTCCCTGGGATTCTGCAGTCAGCCGCCTTGTGACCGGACCCTGCCAACCAGCAGCTGGCAGCCTTTGCACAAGGCAGGGCCTGACATCCAACTGGGTCGGGGGCCAACCAAGCCTACCAGCCTGCCCATGGTAGCCAGCCTACCACAGCAGAAGGACCCATGCAACCACATGGGGAGCACCCTTGGAGCATACAGTGATGAGAAGGGAGTGAATTCTGGGATGCAGAGAACGTTTCGTTCAAAAAGCCATTTCTCTAAGATCAGGAAATGTAGCGAACCTACTGGCTGCATAGAAATAAGAACAAGTTAGGCAAAATGATGCAACAGAGGAACATATTTCAAACAAAGGAATGAAATAAAGCCTCAGGAGAACTGAGTGATGTGGCAATAGGCAATCTACTCAAGAAAGAGTTCAGGGTAGTGATCATAAAGATGATGCAAGAACTGGGGAGGAGAATGAATGGAGAGTGAGAAGTTAGAGGCTTTTGACAAAGAGTGAGAAAATAAAAGAACAAACAGATGAAGAATACAAAACTGAAATGAAAAATACACTAGCAAGAACTGACAGTAAAGACTAGATGATACAAAGGAATGGATTAGTAAGCTGGAAGACAGAGTAGTGGCAATCATTAATGCTGAACAGAAAAGAATGAAAAGAAATAAGAGTTTAAGAGACCTCTGGGACAGCATAAAGCACACAAATATTTGCATTTTAGGGATTCAGAAGGAGAAGAGAGTGAGAAAGGGCTGCGAACATATTTGAAGGAATAATAACTGAAAACTTCCCTACCCAAAACAAACAACCCAATTGAAAAATGGGCAGAAGACCTGAAGAGACAATTTTTCAAAGAAGAAATACAGATGGCCAGTGGGTACAGGAAAAGAGACAACATTGTTAATAATCATAGTTGTCTACATTCATATCTCATTAATTATTGAAAATAACAGCTAATTCTTTTGTTACTCCTGCATCTAATAGCTGAATTGTTCTGTAAAGAACAATTTTACCTAATCAGTTGTTTGGTTACTTCTCTATTAAAGTATTTTCTATCATAGTTATACTTTCTGTTATTAATTTCTAACTTGGGCTTCCCTGGTGGCTCAGATGGTTAAGAATCTGCCTGCAATGCTGGAGACCCAGCTTTGATCCCTGGGCTGGGAAGATCCCCTGGAGAAGGAAATGGCAACCCACTCTAATGGTGAGAAAATATGACCTGTATGTGATACAGTTTTTGAAATCTGTTGAATCTTGCCTGATGGTCTACTGTATGGTCAGTTCTCAAAAACACTTCATGTGTGCTTGATCAGAATATGTGTGCTCCAGTTGTTAGGTACATTGCTAAATGTGATTATAAAATAAAACTTATTAATTATATCAAAAGTATCATTATTCATCAGAGAAACACAAATCAAAACCACAATGAGATACAACCTCTCACCTGTCAGAGTGGCTCTCTTCAAAAAGTCTACCAATAGCAAACATTGACAAGGATGTCAAGAAAAGGGAACTCCCATACACTGCTGGTGAGAATGTAAATTGGTGTGTCCACTGCAGAAAACAGTATGGCTGTTTCTCAAAAAAATAAAAGTACCATATGACCCAGCAATCTCATTTCTGTGTATATATCCCCCCCCCAAAAAAACACTAATTCAAAAAGACACACGCACCACAATGTTCACAGCAACAATATTTACAATTGTCAAGATGTGTAAACAACCTAAGTGTCCATCAACAGATGAATGGATAAAAAGATGTGGTATGCATGTGTACACACCCACTCCACAAGGCAGGGCCTGACATCCAGTTGGGTCGGGGGCCAGCCAAGCCTGCCAGACTGCCCATGGCAGCCAGCCCGCCACAGCAGAAGGACCCATGCAACCACACAGGGAGCACCCTCGGAACATACGGTGATGAGAAGGGAGTGAATTCTGGGATGTGAAATACTGTTATATAAACTATAAAAAAGAATGAAATTTGCAACAGCATGGAGAGTAAGTGGAATAAGCCAGAGAGAGAAAGACAAATATTGTATGATATCATTTACATGTAGAATCTCAAAAAATGCAACAAACTAATACATATAACAATAAAGGAACAGACTCACAGAGAAGAAACTAGTGGTTACCAGTTGGGAAGTGAAAAGGCGAAGGGGTAAGAGAATGGTAGGGGACTTGGAGGTACAAACTATTGGGTATAAAAAAATAAGCTACAAGGATATATTGTACAGGACAGGGAAAATAGCCAACATTTAATCATAACTATAAATGGAGTATAACCTTTAAAAATTGTGAATAATTGTTATACATCTGAAGCTTATATAATATTGTACATCAACTATACCTCAATAAAAAGAATTTTAAAACCTATGAAACACGGGTATGTGGACAGAAAAAAAAATTGGCACATGTGAATCACTTAAAATAGTGCATAAAAGTGAAAGTGTTAGTTGCTCAGTGATGTCCAGCTCTTTGTGACCCCATGGACTATAGCCTGCCAGGGTTCTCTGTCCATTGAATTCTCCAGGCAAGAATACTGGAGTAGGTAGCCATTCCCTTCTCCAGGGGATCTTTCCAAGCCAGGGATTGAACCCAGATCTCCTGAATTGCAAGGCAGATTCTTTACCAGCTGAGCCACAAGGGAAGCCTATATATGACTATAGAAAACTATATATATATATATATATATATAGTGTGTGTGTGTGTGTGTAAAGTATACATACCATAAGCTATGAAGCCTGGAACTTGGCTGGCTTTCCCAGCACCTAACATAATGCCTGACAGATGGTAACTTCTTGATAAATATTTGAGGAATGAAAGAAAAATGATATAGTGCTGCCAGATAAAATATGAGACATCTAGTCAAATCTGAATGTCAGGTAAACAACAAATAATTTTTTAGTAGTCCCAAATATTGTCCCAAATATGCTTACACTAAGCATGTCTGTTGTTTATCTGAAATTCGTACCTAACAGGGTCTCTTGTATTTTTACGCAAATCTGGCAATTCTGTGATTAACAGGTGCTGCTTATAAAAATGGAGCTCTGAGATTGTTGGAAGCAAGTAAAGTGGACCCAGGTGGAGACTGAGCGACCCGAGTCTCACCAGAGAAAGAGTGGTTAAAAAGTGAGAGGAGAGCGGGATGTATGGTTCCAGACTTGGGGGAGTGACTCGGTGTAGAAGGTGCAGAGGGCAGTGCTGGAAGGCCCCAGGAGAGCATGTACACGGGTTTTATTTTGGACCTTCCTTTTGAGTTGGACAGCTCTGGATGCCTTAGGCAGGACATACACCTGGGTCCTCTAGGAAGCAAGGCCTTGAACTTGCATCCAGAATACTATACTCTGGAGAAACCAGGTAAGTTAAACCAAACCAAACCCAAACCTTTCTAATGTACTGTGAAGACTTTAACATTATGTTTGTGTGTGTGTGTGTGTAGTGTGAAGACTTTAATAGTGTATGTGTGTGGAGTAGCGTTGTTGTTGGAGAGAGAAAGGGCCTGACTTCTTTAAGAAACCAGTTTTCTAACTATTGATTCAGGAGCAACATCTGAAAAGAGGGGAAAACCTGAGGTCAAGGTGGAGAACACAGCCCTTCCATTTGGTGAAAGAATAAGTTTTTGTGGTTTTCCAGGTTAGAAAGCATTTGAGTGTTTGGCCCAACCAAGAGGCCAGACCAAGGGCAAGAGAAGCAGAGGGCCCGGCAGCCCTCAGGAGCGGAGGGTAGTCAGGCTGGGCAAGTGCTTGCAACTGAGTCGAAGTATCAGTTAAGACATGTTGGGTGTGCTTAACAAGTGTAGGGTATTTTTCCTATTAATCTGCATTGGGAATGAAGTGGGAGCTGTTAAATGGATAGTGAAGTCTTATTTTAAAGCAAAGCAGTGACTTTCTTTATGGAAAATTGCAGCCCTTCTGCTCTTTACTGTTCCTATTTAAAGTCAAGCTTCTCCTAATGAAACGTACAGGTGAATTTTATACGTAACGCTGATGGAAATGAAGACCTGGGTGGGGCCCTAGAATGTAAGTTCAGAGCCAGGAGTGGAAATTATGAATAGCTGCAGAATAACAAGCTTGTTATAATTGAGTGACTCAGTGGCCCTACCCTTTTGACC